AGATCTTTTCTCATAATTACGAGATCTTTTCTCATAATTACGAGATCTTTTCTCATAATTTCGAGATCTTTTCTTATAATTACGAGATCTTTTTCATAATTTCGAGATCTTTTCTCATAATTACGAGATATTATCTCATAATTACGAGATCTTTTCTCATAAGTACAAGATATCTCATAATTACAAGATCTTTGAGAAAAAATTTGAGAAAAAATTTCAGAAAAAATCTCGTAATTATGAGATAATATCTCATAATTACAAGATCTTTTCTCATAATTACGAGATAGTATCTCATAATTATGAGATCTTTTTTCATAATTAAAGACAAACTTTGGAAAAAAAGTTCTTTATTTTCCAAAATCTTGGAAAATGAAATAAAAAGTAATTATTTAAAAAAGCCTTTTGTATAAATATTGATATTTTGAAAATAATTATCATGAAATATTCAATTATGATAAATATAATAATAAGTAGATATTAAAAGATAAAAATATATATATCATAATAACATTACCTTGTTTTTATTTCATGACCATATTATATATTTGTTTGAGAAAATTATGAGAAAAAATCTCATAATTATGAGATAATATCTCATAATTACAAGATCTTTTCTCATAATTACGAGATAGTATCTCATAATTACGAGATCTTTTCTTATAATTACGAGATCTTTTCTCATAATTACGAGGTATTTTCTCATAATTACGAGATCTTTTCTCATAAGTACAAGATATCTCATAATTACAAGATCTCTACCAGATTGCGTTTGGTTTTAGTTTTTCATATGAATCGACATGCTGCATGAAGTTGGGACCTGGTCGTTTTAAGCGATTCTGAAGCTGTCATGATCTCTGCGCTGATGGTTCGGTTTTTCCCTTTCCTCCTTGCTCCTCTGTCTAAGCGGCAGTCCCGCGATCTTAAAACAATTCTTAAATCGTAAAATAAAATGTAAAATAAAGTCATAAATGATCAGTCTATGTCTATCATATATATACATAACAATATGCTGGATATTGCTGCTCGTGCCACCTAACAGGCGTCACGCACTATGCGTGGAAGAATCGGCCAGTAATCTGATCAGCTAAGCACTGCGTGTTTAATTCCTCAAACTAATGACACGAAGTACCTTGAGCAGTAGGCGAACGTCGGGATCATGCGGGAATTGCGGGCGGGAGCGGAACAAACTATTACAGGAGCGGGCGGGACTGGAAAAAGACCTCTATCACATACCTAAAAGGAAATAAAAGTATATGAAATCCAACAACCCACTTATTGTTCACGTTTCATGTAGTGGAGATCAGCAGAGACTGTCCTTCCTGATCTCCTAAATATCACATATTTTCTCCTAATTATGAGATAAGATCTCATAATATTGAGATCATGATCTCATAATTACGAGAAAAGATCTCGTAATTATGAGATAAGCAGTCAGATTTTTTTTTCTTCTGTGAATGCAATACGCTTCCGTAGAACACAAATATAGACTGAAGTACTACATTTCAACCAGGAAAAAGTAATTTTCCTTCTGGGTTTAGTCTTTAATGATTACACGTGCACTCCATTTTCAATTTCATTTTTATAGTATATGGTTTACAACAGTTTTCAACGGGATGAGAACAAATTTGGACACTGTGAAACAACAAGAATTTGTTTAAGTAACGTGTGGAAAAGAACAAGGATCTGTTTGTTTTCAGAGAAAGGAGCAGACACTGTTGTCAGCGACCAACTTTCAAGCAAACCTTTGTGTTTTATTTTTAATTTTAAATCAGTATCACTGGCGATACTCTGCTATAACATGTGAAGGGAAGAATAAAACAGTAAAGCTCAACTTTCATATGCATAAACCTCATACACGTAAAACCTTTCACTTGCTTCCACATGTGTACTGAGCTATCAGTGTAAATTTCATGTGTGTGGGACAATCTTTATGTTAAAAACAAGGGGGATGCATTTTGTGGCAGGTCCTAGCCAAAAACTGCATCCCCTGCTATCTCAGAGGAGTTGACACTTGTACGTCTGTATTCCTGTATATTCATCAGTAATTAAGTACAAGGATCAAATGCATATTCTGCCCTGTAAAACAATGACAGTGCAATTGTCGCTTCATATGATCTGAAGCCCCATTTGGAGCTTTTAAACAGGATTTTGAAAAACTTTGATAAATTGCTGCTGTAATATTATAGATTTTTTAGAAAAAAAAGCTAGCAGATGTGCATAAACAAACAAAAAAATACAATACAGTTCAGTAAAATACAGTTCTGTTTTATGCCTCATTCTTGTAAGTTTAAAATGTTCCAATGCTCCTGAATGCACCATAGCTTTCTGACGCGCAGCAAACGCATCTCACTGGTCTGTGAACGCTGTGCTGTGTAGGTGCGCGTTTGATTTTCCACTTAAGAGAAAGCTTTGCAAACTCAAAACTCACGTCGGCTATCACGGTTTAGTGTTGTGTGTAAATAGCAAGAGACCACAACAAATAAATCAGCCGTACCATGGTCAAAATCTTTGGATTTAATGTTGTTCAAAAAATCCGTACTTTTTTAAATGAATCTGCCAAATAACCACAACTTTTTTTCCCACGAGAGGTATTTTTAAATGTTTTTATATCATTAATATAATATAATATAAATTAATATAATAAGAACCTAAGCTCCATTGAACATATTTTAATCCGTTTTCCTCTTCGATATGCAGTTCAACAGAGCGAGGCGCGCTCCCGCGACTGGGGATGCATATTTCGGCAGGCATGCACTTTTAGGCATAATACCCACACCGCCCTTCTTCACGTGCCTGTTCTCATTATGGAGCCCTTCAGAAATGTGCTCTCATCAGGGGGGCGGTCTTATTATGACAGTGGCAGAACCTGATACAGTAGAAAGGTTCATGTCACGAAGAACCTCAATGGAGGAAACACGTCTACGATGGCTGCTCTGTAAGTAAAGCATTTAAGCCTTTTTTATTTAGGAGTTTTAACTCTCTAAATGTTTATTAAGGTCAAAACACAAAATAGCTCTGTTTCAGAAAGTAGGAGGAGTCAAAATCCAGAATAAATTGAGAAATAAATCCATGTATAATCAGAATTTTCAGTTTCAGAAAGCTGGATATAATCACTGAACTGACTCAGTGAACAAACGGTGCTCAGTAGCATGATTTCCTGATGTTATTCTCAATCAGCTGGACATTTAAGAAGAGATCAGACACTAAAAACACCTCAGAAATGTTGTCCTTTGCTGCAGCAGCCTGTAGATGTTGGACAGTAAATGCTCATAATGCTCTACACCAGGCATGCCCAAACTCGGTCCTCGAGGCCTCCTGCCCTGCAGGTTTTAGAGGTTTCTCTGCTTCAGCACAGCTGGTTATAATGATT